CTCAGTTTAAATGACAACAACTGCCTTCTTGCTTCTCTGAGGATCCGATGAGCAAACTTTGTTCACTTCGTATGTCCAGCAAAGAGGTTTGAGCCTATCACATACCAGGGCAATATTTACAACAGTGCCTTAAATCTCAGTGCATAGGATAGCTTGAAATTTCATTTCCGTTATTTAAAAAAATATTATTTTGTCAAAAAATATTGCTTGCTTCTCTGCACATGTTTGCAGGGGTCTCCTGAAAGAGCCCATGTGCTCTATTAGGACCTCAGTTTAGGATGTGATAGCCAAGACCGCACCCAAAGTTAGATACAAAATAAGGCAAAGAAAACCGAGGCCGTGGCCAACATCACGTTGTTAAAATGGGACACAAGTGTTGCCTTTATCCTGAGACTCCTTTTCCCAAGATTTACCTGCACTTGTCAAATGTGCTGCTCAAACCTACTTCTAGGGGGCGGCAGTGCCTTGGAATTTTGCCAACATTCCTTTGTCTCTCTTTAAATCTAGTTCAGTGTGCCTCAGGTCTCCTTCAAAGAAGCAAATCAAAAGAAATAAATGTGCTAATTATATCATTGCATACTGATATTAGAAAAAGGTAATAGTCTACCCAAAGTTGTTAGCACGGAAGGCTTATTGGAGACCATTTATAAAGAAAACATCATGAAATGGCACAGTTAGGAAAAACTAATACATTATAAAAGCCTGGGCAGAAGCGAGAAGTCCTCATTTCACTATTGAATGAGAGTTCATTTTTACTCTCACACTTGACATATACTCCATTGCTATTAAATCAAAGTTGCTAGGGATAAATGTATATTTATTTAAAAGATAAAAATTTGAGACATGGGCTTTTAAGTATATGAAAATTAAAATCTGCTGGACACTTTCCCAAGAAGTATAAATACTTTCATGAGGAAATGCAAATAGGCCTAACTCTGACTTGGGTGTTATTGAATTTGCTTTTATTTTTTAGAGCTATGTATTGAATTGATTATATTTGTTTTGAATGAGATTATGATCTTACAAAACAACTCAAAGTATGGAGCAGACCTTATTAAAATGCTTTCAAAATTTTTAAAAAATGTACTTTTGCATTATGATCCCCTTTATCATTATCTGCTAGACCTTGGTGCTAAACGCTAGGGAAAGGGTGTGGGTACTGTGGCCACTATGGCTCAGATGACTTGGGTCATCTAGCAGGAGACAATAGTGGCTCCATCAGCTGTTACTAAAAATGAACGCACAAGGTCTTTCCTTTCCTCACACATCATTATCTGGGTGGAATAAGGAGCACTATCACTTTATCTCTTGTTTTCAGTCAGACATTGAAATTTTATGTAATGATACTTCTGAATTATAATGGGGATAAGAAGAAAAAATTGTTTGCCAAGGGTTCTAAACTGTTCTTTAATAGCCTCACTTATTATAACATTAGAGAAAAACCTTGCTTGATTGTCATTATTTTGCAGAATATATGGTACTGACATTTTCCCTTTCTCCATGGGAGATAACATAATAGACCAAATGGGGAAAACTCTTCTGAGTTATATATAACTCATTTTGTTTCACTAAGTTCTTAATCATCACTCTTAATTGTCAAATCTCAGTGCTATGAAAAAAACCCATTGTCACTAATCATATAGTGAGATCTGATATTATTTATCTAGGTTATATTCACTTTTTAGCAGCTTATCTTTCACTTAACATTTTGTGAAAAGTGCAATTATTACTGGAGGAATTTAAATATCCTTCAAACATGTTCTTTTTTTCTCTCTAGCATTTTCTTCTCATTTACTTAAAACATTTTTGTATGTTATTGATGCAACAGGAGTGACGCTTTCAAGGTAAATTCAGAAATGCACCTTTAGGATCAACCATTAGACATGAAACGTGAAATTCTGTCACACTACCATGAATGGCTTCTACTATAATTACCAGCTTCTCTTTTATTAGGTTTTTTATTAATTAAATGTAAAGTTTATCATTGGTCTTATAAAAGAGCTCATCTGTTTTTTTTTTTAATTTCAAATATATTAAAAGTGAGATTCAGTGTTCATTAAAAACTTGGAATTTGTGAGGATTTTAATTTCAAACAACACTTCAGTGCTGAGCATGTAGATGACTCTTCCTTCTACTTGGTAATAAACCCGTTACTGAACAATGACAAGGCAAAAAAGAAATCATTGAATAAAAACACAGCAGCAGAGTCTCTATTGCCCATGTGCAGCCTGAAGCTTGCCCAGATGGGGGCGAATAGGAGGAGAGGTTTAACAGCTCACGTCTCCCAGGGGAGTTTTGTTTTTATTTAAATTATTGTTCAAGTACAGTTAAACGTTTACGCCAACATCTGGAAACTTCACTTCCATTTTCAAAATTTGAATGGGTTTAAAATATTTTGGAAGTTCGAAAGTTATCATCAGGATTAATCAATTTAATGGAAATACTTTGGCATAATATGCTGCCAATATAATTTGATCTGTCTATCTTTAAGTTGCATTTCGGAGGTATAGAGTAACTAATGTCTAATAAGTTATTGTAAGTCTCACATTTTATTATTTATCTTAACCAGAGACATGCAAAAAAATTTAAAAGGGTGGCATTTTTTTATGGTGACCTGTAGCATCGGTATTTCCCAATTAGCATCTTTGCATGTTTCTCCTCGGGCATGAGTCGGCTTTCGCCTTGTTACACCAGGCTTTTAAGGAGAGCTCTATCTTTGCAGCCCAGGCTACATGTGTCAAGATTGAATTGGCACACCTTACTGTATAGCTCCTGCATTCTTGGCAGTGCTACACTGGCCGATACCTCTGCGAGAAGGCTCAGCTGTCACTCAGTGACCCATTAACACGACTGTTCCATCCTGCAGTGTCATTTTACTCATTCTCATGGAGATAATGCTCCCTGGAGATCGTCAGTACCTGCAGGAATGAAAGAGAACAGCAGAGACAGGCTACCTATCAAAGAGGGAGCAAAAATCACAGCAAGAGCATGAATTCCAACAGCAGAATTTTAAACTGAGTGAAAAAATGAAGCCCATTTTAATGACTGGGTTGAGAAGATGGAGGGAGGATTGAGTTTTAAGAGAGATCATAACTTTTTAACAAGCTATTTTCTCCCCCCTGCCTAAATATTAAAAGAAGTATCCAAAATAATCTTTCAACTAGACACAGAAAAAGCAGCTGCTTTGAAGATAGTCTAGGGAAATTTGGGTAAGAATTTATTCACAAACATGGATTCTGAATTCTATTTGTGTGTTTATTTGCAAATAGGCATTGGATATAAAACAATGTGCATTAAGGTGAATTGCTTAAAAATATAAATACAGCAGGACCCCTGTTATCATCGGTTTATTCAGATACAAAATCACCTCCCTAATAAACGAACAAAAGGGAAAAATGATGTATGATCTTCGTAACCCTAAGCCCAAGACTTCTTCTGCCCTGTGATTGAACTGTTAACAGTTGCTTAAACAAACATAATGTTGCTCTTTCAGTCCAAACTGTGTACTGCTGAGTGGTTCACTTTGTAAGAAATTACACTTTCTAATGTTTACTATATAAGGAGGTACTTAAAAAAACATGTTTCTTGATTTTCTGGACTGAGACTGGTACTATTTAGATTGACACAAAATCAAAACCACCTGAATCTTGATGTATTCAGTGGAAATCTGTTGAATGTATTAAAGGAAGCCTTAAAGGGGGGAGGGACTTGATCAGAAATTAGAAGTAAAATTGGACAGAATTCAGGATGATAAAAAATGCCATATCAAAAAATGATTGTTGCCTGGGCTGGTGTGCTCAATGGAATGAGCATGGGCCTGTGAATCAAAGGGTCATTGATTCAATTCCCAGTCAGAGCACATGCCTGGGTCGCAGGTCAGGTCTCGAGTAAGAGGCACGCGGGAGGCAAACACACATTGATGTTTCTCTCCTTCTCTGTCTCTCTTCTTTACCCTCTCTCTAAAAGTAAATAAATAAAACCTTTAAAAAAACACTGTTACAGCAATTTGTATTTCAGCCCTGCCTTCAATTTTCCCACACCCTGGCCTTGGACTGTTATTTTTGGGTTGCTTCTACCTCCCCAGGTGACAGGTGTATTAGAAGCCGAAGGGATAAACCCGGTATATTCTTCTGGAGTGCCAACTGTAAAAGTGTTTGTTTGTTTTTAATTTACAGATTTAAACTGCAAATAATTGACAGGTTTTTAAACATTTAAATATGTATGGTATATTTCAGAACAGGATAAAATATTTGTACATATGTTAAGGATTTTTTTTAAACTTTAAAGTAATATTGGTGAGACTATCTTTGGTTTAAACCATCAGAACTATTGGTTTGCAGGCCAGCGCTCCGTCCACTGATCCGCACCGGCCAGGATGAAACAGAATTTCTTATAGTACAATCTCAATTAGATAAAATAACTTGAAGACAATTATTAAAATATTTTAGCCTGAATATTTATCAGCCTATATATGATCTATTTGTCTAATTGGATTTTGATTTTTCATAGACTCTAATTAACAATTAGATTTTTATAGAAAAATTGAGTTTCGAACACAGTTCCCATATGCCCTGAACCCAGGTTCCTTAGGGATGTGCCTTAGGGATGACACTTGTTCCTCTCTTCAGCTGATTGACACTGGTTGGAGAAGCACTGCTATACAGCACTTAGCAGGGAAAAGGGATTCAGATGATTATGTTGTAGCAACTACAATGGCATTAATTTGGATCCGTGTATAGTTCAGCCAAGTCTTCTCATGGAAGAAACAACCCTTATTCTCAATTTTCCAGCTGGAAGGCTCTGTAAAAATCCACCAGTCCAGGCTGGTGGCCAGCGATCGACTCGGTGCTCCTGACGTAGCTTCTGTCACTACTGAGGCCATTGCGACGTCATCGCGTGCTTTCAAGGTCTCGAGCGAGGAACGAGGCCGGAAGGACATCCAGGGGCGCGGCTGGTTCCTGGCAGTTGGGAGTTGCCACCTCCACGGTCGGCTGACCTCGATGAAGAAGATGCTCGTAGCTGCTGTGTCCCGCGTGTTGTCCGGTGTCGCCCAGAAGCCTGCTAGTAGAGTGCTGGTGGCGTCCTGTAACTATTCCAATGATGCTACGTTTGAAATTAAGAAATGTGATATTCATCGGTTGGAAGAAGGCCCCCCTGTCACAGCAGTGCTCACTCGGGAGGATGGGCTCAAATACTACAAGGTGATGCAGACCATTCGCCGAATGGAACTGAAGGCAGATCAGCTCTATAAACAGAAATTCATTCGTGGCTTCTGTCACTTGTGTGATGGTCAGGAGGCTTGCTATGTGGGCCTGGAGGCCGGGATAAATCCCACCGACCACATCATCACATCCTACCGGGCTCACGGCTTCTGCTACACTCGTGGACTCTCTGTCAGATCAATTCTTGCAGAGCTGACAGGACGAAGAGGAGGCTGTGCTAAAGGGAAAGGAGGATCAATGCATATGTATTCCAAGAACTTCTACGGGGGCAATGGCATTGTGGGCGCTCAGGGACCCCTGGGAGCTGGGATTTCTCTGGCCTCTAAATATAAAGGAAATGACGAGATCTGCTTGACTGTGTATGGGGACGGTGCTGCCAATCAGGGTCAGATAGCTGAAGCTTACAATATGGCAGCCTTGTGGAAATTACCGTGCGTTTTCATCTGTGAGAATAACCGCTATGGAATGGGCACAGCTATTGAGAGAGCGTCAGCCAGCACCGATTACTACAAGAGAGTAAATTTTATGCCTGGACTAAGGGTAGATGGAATGGATGTGCTGTGTGTTCGGGAGGCAACTAAGTTTGCAGCCAACTATTGTAGATCTGGAAAGGGGCCCATAGTGATGGAGCTGCAGACATACCGTTACCATGGACACAGTATGAGTGATCCTGGAGTCAGTTACCGTACACGAGAAGAAATTCAAAGTGTAAGAGGTAAGAGTGATCCGATTATGCTTCTCAAAGATAAAATAGTAAACAGCAACCTCGCCAGTGTTGAAGAATTGAAGGAAATTGATGTTGAAGTGAGGAAAGAAATTGACGATGCAGCCCAGTTTGCTACAACTGATCCTGAACCAGCCTTGGAAGAAATAGCCCATCATATCTACAGTGACAATCCACCCTTTGAAGTTCGTGGTGCAAATCAGTGGGTCAAGTATAAGTCCATCAGTTAAAAGGAGACTGTAAATTTATTTTTTAGTCCTTCAAAGGAACATCCATGGTCAAATTTAGAAAATATTTGTCCACTTTTGATAAGAAGGAATAAATTAAATCCAGAGAACAAAAGTCTTCTGTTATGAAAAAAAAATGAGATTAAAAGTCTGTTAAAAGAGATCAGTGAAAACAGTACACTCATTTAAAAGGGATATTACATTCAATTGTCCATTACTGTGTTAGACGGCATTATATAGTTAATTATTTAGTAATTTAAAAGATCAACTGAAGCACGATAAAATTTTCAAGAGTTTATTTGAGCATATGTTGATTAGCAATGCCAACAAAAGACAGTTAGAAGCCATTCTTCAATAGGAGTCAGGGAGAGGTTTTCATAATGACACAAAACAAGGAAACTTTCATTTGCTATAGCTTAAGTGATTGCCTTATTTGGGAAAGCCTAGTTGGCAAGGGCTCGTGATTGGTAGTTCTCGAGTTTCATTTTCTCAGCTTTGAGGGCATTGACTCCAGCTGAGGTTTTGGTTTGATTAGATAGGCTACTGAGGCATCAGGGCCACCTTGTTTAGTTAAATGGTGAGAATATCTTAAAGAGTATTTTAACTGTATAAAAGTCTGTAATAGAAAAAACAATTATTTAACTTATTTGTTATAATAGTTCTATTTGATTTAGCTTTATGTTCTTTTAGTAAATACTCTTATTCACAGAAAATCTACTTCTCCACCCTCCAGGGGTGTGTGAGTGAAGTGCTATCCTGAGGTAGAGAGGTCATTTCAAGCCTCACCCAAATATCAAGGCATCCTACTCTTATGCAACTTACGATAATAGTTTATTGAATTAACCAGCAATATAAAATACTGTAAAAATGTGCCTGTGAGGACACACCTGTGTGCATATTCAATATTGATGCTGCCATCAGCATAGAAGCTGACCATTTTTCCAATGAAACATAATATATATCAGGGCAGAGGGACAGAGGAGATGGGCATTTTTCATGGTGCACTTAACATACCAACTTGAAGGAAATTTACAAAGTAAATTCTGGGGGGGGGAACAGCATTTTTCTTTAACATTCAAGTTAAAGAAAATCTTATTTTATAACCCATTTATACTATTATTTGTTGCATAAAGAACTAGTTTGATAAATTTCAGACTGAAAAATTAATGAACAAATGAGTCGACATCAAGGGAGTAAAGCAGAGGAGGTGATATTGATAAACAGTTGAAAATAAAATTTTCTTTGGCTAGAACTGAACATTCACAGATAACTCTTTTTTTTTCAAAGGAGAATCTCATTTGGATTAAATAAGTTTGCTTTTCAGTCCAATTCCATGTCAATTAACAAGTCACGACTTTGTGGAAATGTTTCCCGTGGTTATATTTGACTAATGACCTAAGAACCCTACTGAGTCTGATGTTTGGCATAGGTTACCTCTCTGGGATAGACTTACTAAAGTCAACAATCAAAATTTGCCAGTGGATGAAAAATAGTTTGTAGGAAACATCAAAAGAATTGGTATTTGAAGGTTAAAATCCATCACTAGAAAAAGCAATTGTAAATCTCCATGTTAAGTGAATGTTAAGTACACTTATTTTGGTGATCATTTCATTATACATACATATAGAAAATTGCTACATTCACCTTTAACTAGTATTACATTATATGTTAATTATATTTCACTTTAGAAAAGCTTAAACCTGTAATATATAGCATACATTTCTACAAATTAAATCTAGGCACTTTCTAACAGAAAACCAAAAGTTTAGAGGCCTGTGAGTGCATGAACATATGTGGACACTTATGTACAGGCTTAATCTCCATACCTTTCCCTAAACATGTGTCAACAAGTCAGACAACATTAACACTCAGAAATTAGAAAGCAGAGGTAAGCATTGGTTTGTTTATAAATTAGTGCTGTTACTAGCTAATGTGTTTTGATTATTCAGATTCAGCTTACAGTTTCCGTGATTGGATTTTTAAATTAATACAAAATGCACTTTATAATAGTCAAAATAATCACATTTTTAAATGACAAAGAAATCTTCTACTTTTTATTTGTTAGTACATAGTTATATTTTCATAAACTTGCAAGTGGAAGATAAGCTGCTTAATTAAAGCTATCTTCTGTATACTATATACAGAAATCATTTTAAAAGGTTATTGATATTGCAGATTATTTTAATATCAGTAAAATTTAAGATGCAAATTATTGATTAGAAATGAAACCATCACTAATCCAAGCTATGCAGAGAATTCATTTCAGAAAAAAAACCAATTTTATTATATTACAGAAATAGAGTACACTTGTCACAATACCTATTTAAAAAATTCATTAAAGTGGGGAGTTTTCAATGTTTTCTGTATTAAATGTTTTCTGTTCAGGCTTTTGGGTGTACATTTAGGAACTTGAATCATATCACTAGTTTCACACAATTCTATAATGATGCCAAACAAAACAAACAAAAACAACAACAACAAAACAACCCCCCTCTTGTTTTCAATTAGATTGAACAATAAATTAATAACAAGCTGTAATTTAGAGATGTGTAGAAATGCAACAGTTTGATTCTATTTCCGGTCTACACTACTATGCTGCTCAGTCTATTTTATCTGCATATTAGTAGACCTACTAAGTTGTGCAGATCATAAGAATTCCACTGTTACAACAATGCTAGAAGGTCTGAGAGAAGGGAGAGTTCTTATTATTTTAATCTTTATAACACTCTATAAAGGTAAAGGATTGTGTGTATGTCTGTCTAATGGAATGAGAGAGGAAGTTTAGAAAATTTTACAAAGGAAATACTTAGATACATTCAAATTATGTTTATTTTTAACAATTGATATGTCTGCCAATCTAGTTTATAAAAACAGAGCAGATGGTATTAAAATTTAACAATTTATTTGTAAGAAAGAGCTAGTTTTGAAAATTAAAATATAAATCACATACCATGAAATTTATTCTCTTAAAGGGTATATAATTCAGCAGATATTAGTGTTCACAAAGTTGTATAACTATTTCTATTCATTCCAAAATATTGTCACCCCCCAAAAAAAACTTATACTCATAATCAGTCAATTCACATTCTTCCATCTCTTTTTCCTCTGGAAAATATGTATCTATTTTCTGCTTCTGAATTTACCTATTCTAAAAATTTCTCACAAATCATATTACATAATATTCTTTGTGTCTGTCTTCTTTCACATAATGTTTCCAAGTTTTGCTGTAGGATGAACTTTGAATTTTATTTATCCATTTATCAGTTTATGGACATTTGGACCTTTTCCTACTTTTTGGCTACTAATAGTAAAAGTTAGTACTGATTAAAAATGGTCAGTCTTTTCTTATAAACACAAAGACAAAAGAAACTTTAAAGGTACTAGGCCAAGACAATGCAACAGAATTTTATTAAAGAGTGTATTTATTTATTTTTTAGACAGGGGGAGGGGAGGGAGAAAGAGAGGGAGAGAAACATCAATGTGTGGTTGCCTCTTTCACACCCCCTGCTGGGGACCTGGCCTGCACCCCAGGCATGTGCCCTGATTGGGAAATTGAACTAACAACCCTTTGGTTCACAGACCGGCGCTCAGTCCACTGATCCACGCCAGCCAGGACAAAACGGAATTTCTTATGGTACAATCTGAATTAGATAAAATAACTTGAAGACAATTATTAAAATATTTTCAGCCTGAATATTTATTAGCCTGTATATGATCTATTTGTCCAATTGGATTTTGATTTTTAATAGACTCTAATTTTTTAAACAATTAGATTTTTACAGAAAAACTGAGTTTCAAACACAGTTCCCATATGCCCTGAACCCAGGTTCCCCTATTATATCATCACCATAGAGCAGTATGTGGGGGGGAAGGGGTGATCCTAGCTGGCCTAGGCGGCTCAGACCCAGCACCTCCTGAAGAAAGGCCTCTATCCACGCTCCTGGGAGATAATTTTTGAATGTTCTGCCTGATAAGAACGTTTCTGAATGCCTGAGGCCTTCAGCCACGCTCCACTAATTTGTCCAGGTAAGTTCATCTTATCTGTCCCCGAGTTACTCCACTAGGAGGACTCACCTGGAGCTTGTGCCTGATTTCTCTTGGACTTTTCTCCATGTGTCATTACCCTTTGCTGATTTTGATCTATATTTTTCACTGTAATAACTCATAACCATAAGCATAACAAAAAATCAAGTTTCTTAATTATACAGAACAAAAACACAATAAAAGAGGAGTCCTAGAAACACTAAGTGGCTAATACAGGCTCACATAGTAATAATGAGAGCTATTAATCACAGCTACTGTTCTTTTTTGCTAGTATGCTTTTGAGTGCATGGCAATACTCTTACTATTTAATATACACCATTTTGTGTAGTATTTTCAGTATCCTCATAATATGAGCATTTTAATCTGTGCTTTACAAAAGAAAAAAATCAAAGCTCAAATAAGTTGCTCAAAACTTCATAATTTATAATCGGTGGAGGCAAGTTTCAAAGCCAGACAACAAAGTCCATATTTTGAAAATCACTTTTTTGTACTGCTTTCTAATTATTTCTTCTTGTAGTACTCAAGCATGTAATAGGTGAAAAGTAAAAAGCATGTTAATAAGTGAATGAATGCAATTAAACTAGAATCAAGGGATTTTATTAATTACTAAAAAGCCGAATTCAGATTTTCAGGCTTATAGTGGAAACACAGATTAAAATTGAGAGGGAAATATACACAGGGTATAGGAGGTAAAGCAGATGAAAGATAGCCACAAATTTTGTGATACTCCTCCCACTGAGAGGTGAGACTGATGTTCCTTCCCTTTAAAACTGGTGGGCCTATGTCTGCTCTGACCATTAGAAGGCAGCAGAAATGATGCGTTTCAGGGCCCAAGGCATCAGAAACAGGCACGTTTTGCTTCATGTATCTTGGAAGATACATGTCTCTAGGAGTTATGATTCTCCACTTAAAAAGTTCAAATACATCAGGAACCCCCTGGTAGAGTGTATATAGGAAGT